ATGTGGTTGACATTTTTTCTTGAAATTACATAATAATAACTCTACAATTTGTTTAAAGCAAATGGGCCAGTCCTTTTGAAAGTAGAAGTGAATATTTTCTTTAAAACCTTTATTCTATGAAGGCATACTTGTGATATCGGCCCCACAACTGTTGTTATCGATTATACTTTTGTACGTGGCTTCGTACTTCAACCAACTCACTACTACGACTAGTAAATACTCGTGATACAGGCCCCACCCCAAGGAGTTAAATGGGAAATAAAAGTGATTAAAAATGGGGTTGAAAGTGAGTGGGGGAGGCTAGAGTATTCAAGATAAGGTAGATAGTTTCCTTCAACATTTAATTTTGTTGCTGTTATGAGTTTATATTCATATTTTTGTTATCAAACAGGAATAAATCAATGAATATATAAATACATTTGTAGAATGATCAGGAGTGTCGATTTGTATCCGTGATTGGGGGGGGGGGGGGGGTTGATAGGTGTCAAAATATTTTCGGCAATGGATCAAAGCAACCAAGAGGTAGAAGCGTGTGGCAGGTTGCACCCCTCCCTTCCAAGTTATTAACTTTTTCACCCTCAATAAAGATACCATTTCAGAGAATGGCACCCATGTGGGTCCCACATGGGCTTGCTACCTGGGTTATTATCCTCTCAAGCGCGTTGCCAGTATGTTATTTTAGGGGGGCGGTAGTGAGCACGCGAAGCTCGCTCCCTAGGGGGGTGGGTGCAAGGAGGGGGAGTTTTCCCCAGAAGCGCGGAAGCTTTGATGTTTCATTAAATTATTAGAGAATGAAGACGGTTCGTTGTACCATTCTCGACTCTTAATCCTTGTCTGAATTCAGTTCCCCCCTCCCGCGCAAAGCGCGGAAGCTTTGATGTTTCATTAAATTATTAGAGAAAGAAGACGATTCGTTTTAACTTTCTCGACTCTTAATCCTTGTCTGAATTCAGTTCCCCCCTTTGATGTTTCATTAAATTATTAAAGAAACAAGACGATTTATTGTACCATTCTCGACTCTTAATCCTTGTCTGAATTCAGTTTCCCCCCCCCCCCTCCCGCGCGAAGCGCGGAAGCTTTGATGTTTCAATAAATTATTAGAGAAAGAAGACGATTCGTTGTACCATTCTCGACTCTTAATCCTTGTCTGAATTAAGCTTTGATTTTTCATTAAATTATTAGAGAAAGAAGACGGTTCGTTGTACCGTTCTCGACACTTAATCCTTTTTCTTCCTACGTCCTCTGTCTTTCTTCTTTCTCTCTCTCTCTCTCTCTTTTTTTTTTGGGGGGGGCGGCCGCCCCCCCCCCCCCCCCGCTCCCTGGCTACGCGCCTGTATCCTCTCTGTCTCTCATTATCTCTCTCTCCCACTCTCTACTTCTTACTTGCACTTTTGCGGCAAAGGCAAAGGCCTTTCTCCGAGATCCACATCTTGTTTGCAGGAAAATTGCAACTGCTATCTCTTCTTTTCTTTTCTTCCTCCTTTCCTCTTCTCTCTTCTTACCCTTTCCCTTCTTTTCCTTCCTTCTCTCTCTCTCTCTTTTTGTTTGCTGAGGGGCCAGGGGAGGGCAGGCGAAGGCCTTTCGCCCCCGATCCACACCGCGTTGATGGGAAAAATCACAAGTGATCTCCCGTACCTTTCTTTTCTTTCCCTTTCCCTTCTCTTCCTTTCTCTCTCTTTTAAGTTTGATATAGAAGGGGAGGGGGAGAGAGAGAGAGAGACAAGGGCCATTTGCCCCCCCCCCCCCCGATCCCCAACTTGTTGGCGGGAAAACTGCAACTGATATGCCCCCTTCTTTTCTTTCCTTCACTTTATCTCCTTTCCCCCCTTTTTTCTTTCTATTCTCTTCCTTCTCTCTTTCTTTTTGCTGGGGGGGGGGGGGGCAACAGCCTGGGAGGCAAAGCCCTTTCGGCCCCCCCCCGATCTCCTTCTTTCCCCCTTTTTTTTCTTCTTCCTTTCCCTTTGTCTCTTCTTTCCCTTTCCCTTATTTTTCCTTCCTTCTCTCTCTCTCTCTCTCTCTCTCTTTTGCTGAGGGGGGGGGGGTGGCGAAGGCCTTTCGCCCCGATCTCCTTCTTTTCCCCCTTTTCTTTTCTTCTTCCTCTTTTTCCTTTCCCTTACTCTCCGCTTTACCTTCTCTCTCTCTCTCTCTCTCTCTTCATTTTTTGTTGGCGGTTGGGGGTCGAGGTCCTCTTGCCTCCCCCCCCCCCCCTGGATCCGCGCCGGGAAGACCAGCCTGTAGTGTCATCCATTATACTTGTATTGTATACGTGTGGACTAGAGTACGGACATTCGGTGCGGCAGGCGGACTATTGGTGCGAGACCTCTTCCGCACAGATTGTCCGTCAGACATTTGAGGCGCGCACGGAATGTCCGAGAGGGACATTCTGCGCGGATAAAATCCCCACCGATCGTCCGCTCTCGATCGATCTTTAATAGGCGGACGATCGGTGCGGGTAACATTCTACGCGGTCACACCGGCTGAGTCGTTGCGATTTTTTTTGGGGACAAAAAAAAAGAGTCCTCTTAGCCCCCCCCCCCCCCCGATTTCAAAATGTTAAAACCCTGCGTACGCCACTGCCTCTAGGTGTAAGTGTTTAATATTGATATATGTATAACTAAACACAGCAATGATTCCCTCATCAAGATCAAGAGTCCATAAAGTATATCTTTTATCCTTTTTTATTTCATTTCTAAACAAGATCTTCAATTGCAACAATGTTGACAACCACAATTGACACGGTACAGATTCCTAATACCTCGGGTATCACTTGATTGTCAAAATCAGTCAGTACAAGACTAGTGCAGGCTGTTTAGCAGTTGTGATGGGCAGACAGCAATATCTTGATTCGGGCTGCAGCTTTAACACATCAGGCCCCGGTGAACGTTTTTCAAACTAGGGGGGGGGGGCTAAAGTATTTATGAACAGGTAGAGCGTAGCGTAAAGTTGGCGTAGGGTCCAGGGGGCGGCGCCCCTGGAAGCTCGGAGGTTTGAGCAGGCCAGGGGCAAGTGAAGTCATTCAAAGGGTGTGGGGGCATCAACAATACAGGGCACTTTCCGGGAGAAAAGGGCACCTACTAAGGGAAACCTCAAAGCGAAAATTTAAAGTTTTTTTTTAGACATTGGTATATACCCCTACAATGTGATTACAGGGATGATTTCAATGTCTGTTACTCTCTTAACATGGTCCATACTGTTCAAGCATCACACATTTACCTTGTAGTTGGTTTGTGATGGTAAGAAAAAATTTTGCGAGCGAGCGAAGCGAGCGAGCAAAAAATTTGGATTTGTGAGGTCGCAGTGAAAAAAATTACATCTTATAAAGAAGGAAAAAAAATCCTGATGGGGTTTTAAGCACAATCTAATCATGAAAGACTGAAAAGATCTGTAATATGAACCATAATTATATCAACTTTAAATACGAGCGAGCGTAGCGAGCCACACTTGGGTGAAATTAAAGAAAAGTTCCTCTTAATCCCTTTAAATTAGGAGCACTTTTTATGGGGAAAGGAAAAGGGGCACATATCCAAAGGGGAAAATGACACTTATTTGAATTGAAATAGAGCACATATCAAAGTAAAAAGGGGGATTACCAGAGGTGAAACTGGGGCACTCCTCGCACTTATTAAGGGGCACTCACCAGAGATGAAAATAGGCACTTATGACAACGGAAAAAGTGCAATTTTCAGAAGAAAAATGCCACTAATCAGAGATGAAAAGGGGCACTTATTACAGAGTTAAAGGGGGCACCTCTTAAATTGTAATAAGGGCATGCACTCATCGGGGATGAAGAGGGGCACGTATAAGAAAGAACCAAATCTCACGCACACATTATGCAAAAGAGGTGAGTAATTACGTCCTGCAGGACACAACACAAATCCCAGGTTGGTTTCCAGAAGCTGGAGAAGAATCCTTTTCGCATCGTATACTGATTTTAATTTTTAATGATTTACGCATCTATCCAATCTGTCCATATAGTGTAACAGTAACAACCCATCTGTGACACTAATAAACGATGTGCATGAGACTAATTTTATTCGGTACAATTTACATATAATAAATATTATGGGCAGATTGAAAAAGAAAAATTTAGACTGACAGGTCGTCTTCTGTGCACCTTCTGAATAAATCAGGCTTTTACGACCACTTTTACGGAACTAATTTTATGAATCCGCGAACTACCGAATTTGGAAGCTTTGCCGACATGCTTCACGATGCCTCCGTGTTTTTACTTTTCGCATTTGCTATTTTTTCGTGCTTTTTTCCTTAATTACGTTTGCTAAGTCGCGCTTTTATGTAGATAAAATATGTGGTCTCGCATTTTGCAGGGGCCTTGCCCTTGGTTGGTTTCTTTCTATTTCTCTTTAAAATACTTTTTCAAATAAGAGGGGGGGGGGGGGCTCGAGCCCTGCCATACCGCGGACCCTGTACACTGTGTAACTGCATGATGATTTGACAGATGGACCTGAAGTTAACCGAGTCCTGAAATACTTTTGAACGTTGTAAATTAGACGCCCTAGTGTAGAGAGATTATCGGCATTTTGTTTCTATCATAATATATAGGCCTAAAACACGAATTAGGGCTAGTTTTGACCTGAAAACAACCCAAAGCTCGGCGCATGTCCAGCTGAACCGCGGGAGCTTGGCCTATATACGGATAGGTGAGGGCCCTGGGTCCACTCCTAACTCGTGTTTTAGCCCTTCTTTCTTCCCTTTTCCTTTCCTTTCCTTTCCTTTCCTTTTCTTTCCTTTCCTTTTCTTTTTTTTTTTGGGGGGGGGGGGGGCCGGGCCCGTCGGGCCCCCCCGTGGATCCGCGCCTGGTAACAGGGGTCTTAGTCCCCGGGAAAGACACATCTATAGCATTCAAACAATTGAACCGGTCAATTTTTAAGAAATTTTGCCCCAAGCCACCCTTAATTCGCCATACGATGGACGGTGGACCCCATGTTTGTGATTATTTATCATTTATGTATCTCTATTTATATTTTGACATTTCTCCTCAGCTTGGATACCATTCACGATGGCAGAGAGGCTGAACAGCGAAGAGATGACTGAACCCCCAAGTGATGACACACCAAGTACAAGGTACAGTCTATGTTAAGCATAAGTCCACTGTGATATAAATTATTGTTAAATTTGCCCTGGTTACAGAATGCCAATGACTAAGTAAGACCATTTATCACTTTTGAGAGTAGTTCAGGTTATTATTCTTTAAAATGTCATGCGAATGAACTACTGGTAGTAATAATAATAAACTATGGTCGACACCTGTTGTGAAACATATGACGTAAAGATTCATCTCAGAGGGAAAGAAATGATGAATATCAGACCTCCAAGATACAACAAATCTTCTTTTTTTAGTACACTAAAAACAGATAAGATTATATGGTCGTCCCAGAAAAAACAAAACCGAGAATTATCGATGTTTTATCATAACTTAATCACAATTATAATCAATAAATGACACATATTTGTAAAGCTTCGATCATCCTCTTTCATTTGATGCAACTCATTATGATGCATATTTCACGCATGAGTGATTAAATTCTCGGTTTGCCTTTTTCTTGGACGCATAATAGACCCTACAGTTGACCATTTTAAATGGTAAAATCATGAACCTACTACGTAGTTGGTCCATGGTAAAATGCTGCCTCCTTTCAATTCATTTAAAGCTTTATTATGTAAAAAGGCAAATACATAATAATAGGTGACAGCGCACCACAAAACAAACAAAAGGTTATATAGTTTGGTTTTCGGTAAGAACTCAATAAAGGTGTATTTGTTCTGGATGTTCACATTAGCTTTTTATAATTTCCTAAAAATGAACAAGTCTTTTTAAAACTCTTTTCATGACTGTTCACTCGACTGTCGACCCAAAGCTGTTCGTTGTGATTAACCATAACGAACAGGGGATCTTGATGACTACTCCGTTAGTCTAGTTCTGGACCCTTTTATTGATTTTTTTTTTTAATTCGTCGACTATAAGCGTTAAACCGAGTGATGGCGCGATCCTTAGTGACGGCGCGATCCCCGAGAACCGCGCTGGTAAAAGCCTATACTTAAATTTGACCATGATATTTCGTTTGATTTTTCACTCAGTTATATGAAATTCGTGTAGTATAAATTTGTGAATGAAATGCTTTAATTTTATGTTGATGTTTTTTTAAATATTTATTCTAGTGGTCAAACGTCGAGGCAAACACATAGATTCGATGACGTCATCCTCAAAGTAGCAAAAGCCATATCAGATGATGGTGATGTAATGAGACTTGGTGTTGAGCTGGGAGTCCAGATTGCTGATATCAACCGGGCATTGGAGACGAATTGGGCTGGAGGTAGAAAGACCAGTAATGGTAATGTGATGCTGCTTCAGAACTGGGCAGAGACGGTCAAACCATCCAAGCAACTTTCCATTCTTAGAGCTGCTCTCCAGGCGGCTGACTTCAAAGAAATAGAGGAGACGTGTTTGCAAAGAAAAGGTGAATTCAAACTTGGTGATATACATGTATCATCATTGCAATACAATCTGATTAGAATTTTAGTAATTAGGCCACTGGTCAAATGTTATGAGGTCAACTTTGTTCAGTGTTAATGTTAAAAAGACTTTCCTGCACAATTTTGAGGTGGACAACCTTGGGAATATGTAAAATAAAAATAAAAAATTATAACTTCTCGTGAACTATTTTGGAGATTACTTTTGTAATGTTATCATTTGTAAGGAGTCATATGAAAAGGAAATTAAATTTCCTACCAGGTAATATCACATTCATTAGGGTTGGGGATGATTTGCATAGCAATTTTTTCTCCCCAATTGTGAATTATCCCCAAAACACCTATTATGATAACTACTGTCTTGGACTGAATGGAAAAACTGTCCATGAAATTGGTTAATCTCATACATGTCCTATCTGTGAAATGTAAACGTTAGCAGTGTCCTAATACTCAAATTATGCAAGGAAACCTGATTACTTGCTAGACTTCACTGTCATACACTATTGAGTGACTGACTGGCCTTTTTCTTATTTGGTAATAACATACATAACATGAGCTGTAAATGGTACGTGAGCATTTGTCTAACCCACTTCTTGTAATGGCCAGAATTAAACTGATTGAATCTTTGCGCAGCACAAAACGTACGACCATTCGGTACAATGGTCTGAAAATCAGCCTATTACTTACTGACTTGGTTGCACTTAAGTCGATTCGACAATTACTAATAGTCGTTATTTTCCCACTTAAAGACATAAAGACGAAAGACTTCATGCATGGCTGATCGTCAACGAAACGGAGTTAAAGGGCAAGTCCACTCCAAAAATAACTTACTTTCAATAGAAGCAGAAAAATCGAACAAACCAATCAAAATAAGTTTGAGCAAAAATCGGAAAACTAATAAGAAAGTTATGATCTGTTTAAAGTATGTAAAACTATGAAACAATGAGTATCACAACACGAATTGCCAATATGGTTTTCAGTTTATGACGTCATGTCTTCACTATTTATCGATTGCTTTATTTACTTTAATCCCATTAATTTCCCTTTTTATCCCCTAAAACTTGTTTTCCCCATGCCTTTGCCCAGGTGAAATGATTTATATCATATTGGGTGTATGACATTTCACAAAATCTTTCATGAACTTTGAAGAATTGATACTATTTTCTGAGTATTAATACATTCATAATTTTTTATATATTTTTTTGATAGAAATAGTTTTTGAAAATTCAAATTTTTCATGATTTAACTGTAAAATGTTTTACTTTATATCAGTGCATTCATACAAAAACATATAACTATCAATCTAACGTGGATGCTGGTGTGAAGAAATAAGATTCTTAGGGAGAAAAAGGGAAAATTTACATTATCAATATAGAGAAAATAATTAATGGATAGTGAGGACATGACGTCACAGACTCATGAGTGAGTTGCCAATTTGTCTTGTGATTTTCAAAGTTTTTCATGTCATTACAAATTCATAACTTTCTTATTAGTTATCCGATTTTGCTCAAACTTTTTTTTATTGGTTTGTCTGATTTTTCTGCTTCTATTGAAAGTAATTTATTTTTTAAGTGGACTTGGCTTTAAGTCTTTTATCTATTCTGTTTGTTGCTACAGCAGGCAGCCAGTGAAAACAAGTTCGTTTAATCAAATTATGGAATTGCAAGCATTACTTCAAACAAACAGAACGTTGTTTTTTCTGGCTCATTTTTGCTGATTGAGGTGTCATATGAAAGGGCAGAAAATGAACTCTCTAGAAATGTGACTCTCTCTTTGAAATTCAGATACCGTCTGCCAAATGAATTTTGTTTTCCCTCTCAAATTGCTTTTAATCACTCATGCGTGAAATATGCATCATAATTATGAGTGGCTCGTCAGGTAATAGACTTAAAAAGGATGATGGAGGACCCTCTTACGCTAACGTAGGTTGGGCGGTGAGGAGGTGTACTACTGACTCACTTGATCCAACCTGAGGGACCTCGCAAATAAGCCTTGGGTGGTCCACCTCCGGGTCGCAACTCAATTGAGCTAGTCGATCCAGGTGAAAGTCGGGGGAAGCCCCTTTTTGAGGATTCATGAGGGACCAGCTAAGCGTACCACCCCAGGCACATCGGTGCCCCTATAAGGCAACGTTTATTAAAATTCGTAGTGTATTTCACAATCTGATGTAATTAACGTTGTAGAATTATATTTAATTATGTTAAATTATTTTCGTTCTCTTAAGTTTAATGTACTTACCTTGTTAGGCACCTTAAGCATCTCTTGGGGTGGATATGTGCGCATTATAAATGTTGTTATTATTATTATTTTTTATTACAATTGTGATTAAGTTATAATAAAACATCGATAATTCTCGGTTTCGTTTTTTCTGGGACGCACTGTATATAACGTGAAGAAAACCTTAATTTTGGATCATGGATCAGGGCCCACTATACATTCAAAAACAAATACACGATCAGCTGATTAGAAAAGTTACAGAGGATGCATATTAAATCTTACATCCTAAATGTATTGTTAGGCCATTGTTGGGGAGGCTGTAACGCGTACTCATCTACGCACAACGTACTGTTTTATTTCTAAGAAATGTGATATCGGTAGACCTACTTTACTCGGTGGTAGAACTATGGGGAAATCCCCCCCCCCCCTCCCATGTCGAATTGAATAATTTGATGAGACTAAAATGAACTTCATAAATTAAGAAAATGAAAGTTTATACAATTTCTGTAGATAGCAATTTGGAGAGAAGCTCGCAGTATACGTCAGAGTGTTGCAAAATCCTCGGGGGATGATTTTCCTGGGGGGGGGGTATTCCTCGGGGGGGGGGTGTCCTCGGACCTCCCCCCACCCCCCCCCCCCCCCTTTAGCGACGCCCCTGGACAAACTATCTTTAACTAGGGAAGGGTGGATTGGCATGTCACACGAAAGAGTTATGAACCCCGTTACTAAGACTTACATGTAAATATTTTACAGTTTAAATCCTGTCCAACATTTTAGTCTAAGGGCGCGTTCATGCTTCACTTTTTCTGGCCAGAATCAAGCATATGTTACGCGTTTAGTTTAAAACACTGTTCGTAATCACCGAAAAACGGCGATCACGATCGCCGATCGTAAACTCACAAAAAGATGCGTTTACAATTTGTAAACGCGTTTAAATGGGGTCAACGCACTGACCTCTAGTGGGTCTACGCACGGACCATGGTCTACATAGCATGCGCATTTCAAGGTTGCGAATCCAGCAGCTAGGCCAATTAAGGCCACCAAGGGAGAATTGCCTGGAGAAGTGAGAATGAACAGTACACCGTGGAACTGCGATTACGATGAGCGTTTACGATGAGCGTTACAAATCGCTCATTCTACCTTCAAAATCAAGCATGAACGCGCCCAAAGTCTACGATTATTAAAGTGATGTCCTGATAATCGGTTTCTTTCATAATTGTAGGTATGGTCTTGAGTTATGAATAATTTATATGGATTTATGTCAGAATTTAGAGAAGAGGGCGGGTAATCTGTGGATCATTGGATTTTAAGTATTTGTTAGTTTTTGTGATATATTTTTCCAATTCAATTTACTTTTGAACTTAATGATGTTTGTACCATTCTCTATAATTTATTTTGAGAGTGTGTATGCGTGAGGAAAGGGGTGGTGGAATCGGCATGTCACAAATGTGGTTGGGTTGCAGCTTCTGCTGACTTTCACCAATGTTTTTCCTTCTTCGAAAGAAAATGTAACGGGCGCAGGGGGGGGGGGGGGGGGGGGGGGTAAGTGAGCACTCAAATGTTGTTATTTTCGCTCAGTGTGGGGGGGGGGTTTAGTGTGAGCACTAGGTAACAAATAAATAAAAAATGATTTATTTTTTCTATTTTTTTAATGGTAACCATCTTTTTTGAAAAAGAAAACAAATTGACCAGGCCACCCCCCCCCCCACCCCCGTGGATTCGCGCATGGTAACAGTGTTCAGTAATCGTGTATTGGGTATCCACACGTAGCATAAAAAAGAACCAAATAATTAAGCAGATGTGACTTGGTCTAGCGGTACTGTTCTGTCTGTATTTGCTTACACATTAACTCTGACTCAAATTTTGTCATTAGGATGAAGTATGACTGGACATTGCAAAACACAAATCATTAACAAAGATTTACGTCAGGATGGGTTGCTAGATGCCCCCTAATTTTTCACTGATTGTCGCTTATATTCCCTCTGTTTTCGAAGAAACTTCACGTCAAAAACGTGATCTGTGTATAAAAAACATACAAATAAAAAATAATATGATCTGGTTTGAAGGGCTATATGGCTAACAACAATGTTGCGAAAATGGCTTGACCGTATATGAATTGGATTGAATCAATAGACTCATAACTTCAATTGTGGTAGAAGGAAGGCCCTTTCTAATTTCTCCGTTTTTGCACTTTATTTTAGGAAGGCGTGAACAAAATTGTCTAGCCCCCAAGCGGGGGGGGGGGGGATTTCCCCCCTCCCGCGCGGAGCGCGGAAGCTTTGACGTTTCATTAAATTATTAGAGAAAGAAGACGATTCGTTGGACCGTTCTCGACTCTTAATCCTTATCTAAATTCAGTTTTTTTTTACGTTTCATTAGGGAAAGAAGACGATTCGTTGTACCGTCCTCGACTCTTAATCTTTGTTTGAATCAAGTTCCCCTTCCTAAAGAGAGAAGACGATACGTTTTACCGTTCTCGACTCTAAATCCTTGTCTGAAATCAGTTTCCCCGCTCCCGCGCGAAGCGCGTAAGCTTTGACGATTCATTAAATTATTAGAGAAAGAAGACGATTCGTTGTGCCGTTCTCGACTCTTAATCCTTTTTCTTCCTACGTCCTCTTCCTTTCTTCTTTTTTTTTTTTTTTTTTTTTTTGGCCTGCGTTTTTTTTATAGTCATTCCGCCTGCTAGCCCCAAGCCCCCTCCTCCCGTAATACGGTAAGATTTGTGTTAATATCTGACCTCACGCTCGTCATCATCTTGTTCTTGTCTTCTCTCAATTTCAGGTGAACACAGTGATATTCCTGAAGAAGTACAACGATTAAGAGAGAAGTTAAAGGCTAGATATATCGAAGAATTTAGCGAGGTCAAAGTATCTCCTATGGACCCCGAATCACGCACATGGCTGCAGCATATCTTCGTCAGTCTCATTTTAATGTTAGGGGGTACAAGAGATCAGAAAAAAGAAATTCGATATGAGAATCTGTTCAGTCTCATTCAAAAAAAGACTGAGAAAGGATTCATAACACGGTTAGCCTTTCTTGGAGAAGCTGGTGTGGGCAAATCGACCTTATTTGCAAAAATAGCCCTCGATTGGGCGATGGGTAAATGTCTCCAAGATATCACTCTTCTCTTTCACGAATCATTTCGAGACATAGAAGATAGCCCCTTTTTTGGTGATATCGTTTTGAATCATTTCCCAGATGACACAAAGATTATAGGGGAATGGATTGATGAATACATCAAGGAGAATCAAAGGAAAGTTCTGATCTTACTGGACGGGCTGGACGAGGCTAAAATGGACATGAAATGTTCAAACCGTAAACTTGCTATCGTCTCGATCGCAAGAAGGGAGAGATTTATTGACACATCCGTTCTCATTAGTTCACGTCCTTTTGGAGCTGATCAAATCAAGAGCATTCCGAAAATCCATGAAAAGTACTCTTACATACTGGTTGAGGGTTTTACGAAAGAAAACACGAATAAATATATCAAACAGTATTTCAAAAATGACACAGCTTCTGCATCCAGTCTCATCCACTTCATAAACACTAACCGTGTAGTTTCTGCGTTTATGGCACCATTCCCAATCTTTTGCTGCATGCTGTGTTACATGTGGGAAGTAGAATCTAAGCGCAAAACAACTGAGAAGCTACAAACGATCTCCCAACTAATGAAAGAGATTGACTTCGCTCTTAGGGAACAATATTCTTCAAGACACACTGACAGAAAGGAAGGGTACCAATGTCATATGGAGAAGGCTGTTGAAGCCAGTGCAAAGGTTGGTCGTGTGGCCTTCGAGGGGTTGCTGAAAAATCAGCTAATCTTCACCAAAGAGGAAATGGAAGCCTGTGATGAGGCTGCAGCAGTAGCATGTCAGGTTGGGATTCTGAGTGGGAAAAAGAGGTTGGCCTCAAAGGAAATCAGACAAACAGAGGGAAAGCAGTTCATTCAAGAGTTCTGTTTCCCTCACAAGCTACTGCAGGAACATACTGCCAGCCTATACCTTGCATCGCTGTATAACCACAACCGTTCGGAATTCAACAGAATCTTGACACACAAGCTGTTAAAGGACTACAGGGCATTAGAATATGTCTTGTACTTCACTGCAGCTCGTGGAGGTGAAGTAGGAAAGTCGGTCCTGGAAGCCCTATGCAATCAAGTTGATGACATGAAGTTCATCAATCAGTGTGCATTTGAATGTCATGATTCAGAAGCCATTGGTCCCGTCAGGAACCTGTTGAATACAAAGACATGTCTTACGTTAGCTTCTTTGTTCGTTTCTGTCGCCGCTTTATTCTTCACACTGGAATCAATAGGGAAGGAAGTAGTAAGTTTCGTGAATAGAATTTTAGACGTATCTCATTTACATTCATCTAGTCTAATTGATATTTTATTATATCGACGGAATACTGTCATCTGTTGTGCTTTCAGTAATTACATAATCAGTATAATTATGCAAATTTGGCTACAAACAAATGGACAACTACACATTATACCGTATTTTATTTGCTTTCCAGCATTCTTACCCATAATCATCTAGAACTGCCATTTTGTCATTATATACGTACTATAGTGGGCTGTATTCCAATGTGTATTGTGTAACCAGTCTCACATGAGAACGAGAATCATGTTACCGTTTGCCTCTTCCTCATAAAATATATGAATTTAAAGGACTTACTAATAAAGAAATAGAGTAACAATGTACGGTTCTTTCAGGATTAAACAAAGAGAAAAAGTGGAGCCAACCAAACGAACTATAGAAAATATAGGTCATTCTATTTTCAATATACCCTCCATAGCTACCTCAATAGCTATCCAAATTTCAGGTATAGATATTTCAGATAATACAACAAAAACGATAAGTCTAAATTCGATTTGTCCTGTTCATATCACCTTCCATAATTCGTGATGATAAGAATGTGTGTTTGTATCCACGCTATTTACATGATACATGATGTCAGAATCTTGCATAATGGTGAAGACATCAATAAAAAATAACTTGGTGTGTTGTTGTATTACTTTTACCAACAAATGCATGCTATAAGAATTGTTCACACAAATTAAAAGGTTAGCATATGTTTGGTTTTTATTAATTGAAAGTATTATTTATAGATCGAATGCTAAAATTCATTTTTTGTACAGGTAAGAAGAAGTTCCTCGATTCGTGCAACATTGGGTGTTAGCGAGTTCTTCGAAAGTAACGAATCATCGTCTGATGTCGCAGCAGCAGTAGGACTCTTTACATTGCAGAACTTACGAGAGTTGTACATTAGCGAGCGCCTGGATGACAAATTCTACCTAGGAATGTCTGCTGCAGCTTCACAGTCCAAGGTTTCTGATTATTGTATAAACCGTGATGAATCCTAAATCATAATTTTTATTATTTCCTATCCGATGCATGCTATTTGTTTCTTAATAAGATAAGGAAAAGTATTTAATTTATGAACAAAATTTGGTTATTTATACTTATAATTTCGTTCACTTCATTTCACAAAGGTGAGAAGTCTAAAGGATCTTAAAAGGCTTGTAAAAAGGTCTAGCTCTCCTCTTTCTTCAGCTCCACCCTCTTTCTCTTCCATTTCCTTTCTACTTATCATTATATTTATCTTCCTCTCTTTTCTCTTTGTCTCTATGTGGCGGCGCTCGCATATCGAGAAAAATGTCACCCCTAGTCAAAGTCTTTGCCACCCTCCAATATATGAAGAAATCATTTTCACTATACTCTTTTTCTTCTTGTTCTTCTTCATCTATTTTCTTGTTCAGGTTAATCTTTATTGACATTTTTTCCATAGCCATAGAAGATTATATTAGCACTGAACACACTATAGGACGCAGGAAATTTTCAACTCGGAATTGCATTCAGAAGATATATGAGAGGAGAAGTTACTAAGAAATTTATGATATGGGTCCCTATTATTGATGATGAATAGTTTCACATATTTCAAAAGAATTATGAATAATGTGAATATATTGCATTTCAATCTCAAAATGATATCAAATCATATAAATGTGTATTTTTAAAGCACGTATCCTATAAATAGAATTTCGCATTTTGATTCTAGAAATTATATATAGTTTGTCAATAGTCTCAAAGAGGTATTACATGTACACTGTAGATAAAAATATATACAATTTCCATTCTTCTGGATCAGCTACTTTCTCTCTTTCCCAAATGTCACAATGAACTAGATTTATATAACAATGCGTTTTAAAGACATAACCTAAACATAATATTTAGCAATATTTCTTTCATTTTTGGGGGGGAGGGGGGAGGGGGGGGGCAATAATCGCAGGATATGAATTTTACATGTGCATTGTAAATAGACGGATATAACTTACACTTTTCTTTTGTTAAAAAGACACGTTCTCTCTTCATCAAACATCTATAATTGACGACATTTGTTTGACTTTCTTCATCTCGCCTTTCTTTTTCTTTTCTCCCAAACCCATTTCCCATTGGGTTTTTCTCTCTGTCTCTGTCTCTGTCTGTCTCTCTCTCTCTGTCTCTCTCTCCCTCTCCCTCTCTCTCTCTCTCTTTCTCTCGTTCTCTTGTTTTAAAAATCTAAGTAGAGATTACTAATGTAATATTTATGACGGTTAGAATATTTAGAACATACATGTCATCTATACTGATGATACTATTCACTCTTTTCAACCTGTCCTGTCACATCACCAGATTGAGAAGCTAACCTACTGGAACACAGATCTGGGTTATCATGCATCCTCTCATTACGCGAGAGGTATCTGCTTCATGCCGAATCTTCGATCACTGTATATGTTCTGTGTGGAGCTGAGTGATGAGTTCTACTCGACGATGGCCACTGAGGCATCACAATCAAAGGTATACAAAATGATTTCTATCGGAAACGACTTGTTGCAAGTTTTGCATTCTTCAAACTCAACTGATGGGGTAACTGTTTTTTTTTAAAGTCATCATTTATTTCCATTAGTTATTAGCACTCTCCTATAAATATTACGAATAGTTAGGCCATGCTGACAAGGACATAAATACCGGTAAATAGAGTGACCCTTGATGTCATAATGTAAGCCTGTTTTAGAAGCATGTTTCCTCGAAATAGTTTTTCGCATTCTATTTTTAGATATTATTTACATTGTGTCAGTAGTTGCAGGAAGTCCATTTTACATGTGCATTGTAAATCCACGGATTACTTTTTTTTTATTCTGCATGAACAGACACGGTCTTTCTTTTCTTACTACATGTACCTATATTTTTTGAGATTTGTTTGTCTTTCTTCATCTCATCTTTCTATTCTTTTTCACCCATTTTCAGTTGGGCCTTTATCTCTCTCTCTCTCTCTCTCTCTCTTTCTCTATGTTTGTCTCTTTGTCCCCCCGTCTCTCTCTCCCCCTCTTTTCCTTTCTCTTACTTAAAAAAGCTGAGGTAGAGGTTAACATTTTTGCATTAATGACAGTAAGAATACATAAATCAGACATGTCGTCTATACTTGATATTACTATTCACTCTATTCACCCTATCCTGTCACATCACCAGATTGAAAAGCTAAAGCACGCAAAGGCGGATCTGGGTTCTGCTGCATCCCATCATTACGCAAGAGGTCTCTGCTCTATGCCAAATCTTCAATCACTGAATCTAAACGATGTTGGGCTGAGTGATGAGTTCTACTCGACGATGGCCTCCGAGGCATCAAGATCAAAGGTATACCAAACACGATTTCTATTGGAAACAATTTGTTGCCAGTTTTGCATTCTTCCAACTCCACATATTGTGGGATAACTGTTTTTTCACACATTTTAAATAGAAATCATTTATTAACATTATACAAGAGCACTCTCATATCAATATTATAAATAGTTTGGCCATGCTTACAAGGAAACAAATCGTATGAATAGAATGAACTGTGGTTTTATACTGATATAGATTCATGAAAAGCGCGTATAAAATTACATATCCTGTATTTAATATTTTGCATTCTATATTTAGAATCATTTTAATTTTGTCAATAGTCACAAGAAGTTAATTTTACATGTGCATTGTATATATACGGATATAACACTTTTATTTCGCTTGAAAAGGTCTCTTTTTTCTATCAATCTATAATTAGTTTCAAAATTTGTTTTTCTTCATCTCGTCTTTCTTTTCTCTTACGACACCCTTTTTCCTTTGGGCCTTTTTTCTCTATCTCTATCTCTCTCTGTCTCTGTCTTTCTTTCTCTCTCTCTCTCTCTCTCATTCTCTCTCAAGCTCGCTGTCGTTCGCTTTCTCAGCTCCTGTCAATTTTTCCTTCTCGCAGACTATTCTTTGTATGTATTACTTATTGATCTTTCTTGGCAATTTCTTAGATCTATATCTCATCAGATAGAGATATTAGAATGTTTGTCCACTTTGTTTAAGGATTAAAAAGTAAGAAACATTATCTACTCATTTAAGGAGAATGATGCCCCCTCCTTAAATGTAAACACGGAATTAAAATATATATATGTATCTTAAAAATCACTTGGATTTTTTTGTTAAACACACATGTATTACATAACTTGTTATATAATTATCGAAATTATTGACTATAGACGGATGGTTATTATTTACTATCGGGTAATGTAGAAATGTTAGATTCTAATAGGCCGCTACTATGAATAACCAAACATAATACCTCGATGTTCATCTCTTCGAATTTTTAGATAAAAGTAATTAATCTATAAATGAAAAGTACTTCGAATATATTCCTCGACTAATGAGTTGTAACAGTAGATAAATAATTTCTGTTACCACGAATATTTGGATTTTTATGTTCTTTTCGTTTGTAACGCATTAAGAACCGATTAATGTGTTAACTTAATGATTTTAACTGATTTCAACCTTGGTCCACATGACCCAGTTATCAGGTAACAACTATTGTCTAAGACTGTTCCCAGAGTTTTCTTGTAAAGTATACCTGATATCAACAACATGGCACGCACAAATGACACAATGTCAACTCATGTGACTGTCCAATGAACGATGTTTCACAGATCTGAAGCAATATGTATTCATGCGAGTGTCCTTTTGTATCTAGTGAATTTAGAAGAATCAATAAAATGTGTACTAATCCACGTTGAAGGAAACAGGTGAAAACAAGGGGGAAAAGTATAACATTCTCTCTTGAAGAAATCATTTTGACGTAATGTCATCCCACCGATACGATCCCTAAAAGGTACAATGTCCCTTTTGTAGCCAACATCAAATGCTGTAAAGCTTTGCAGGAATATTATGAATATGTCATGTATGTCCTATCTATGAAATATAAACGTTAGCAGTGTCCTAATATTCAAAATATGCTAGGAAACCTGTTTACTTGCTAGACTTCACTGTCAGACACTATTGAGTGACTGACTGGCTTTTTTTCTTCTTTGGTAATAACATACATAAAATGAGCTGTAAAAGTTACATGAGGATTTGTCTACATCAATAATCCAATTCTTGTAATGGCCAAAATTAAACTGATTGAATATTTGCGCAGCATAAAACGTACGTCCATTCGGTACAATAGTCTGAAAATCTGACTATTACTTACTGGCTCTATAGCTCTTAAGTCAATTCGCCAACTAATAGTCGTTATTTTCCCACTTAAAGATATTTTTCAAGCCCCCCCCCCCTTTTTTTTTAGGAAAGTTCAAAATTAGTATTATCTTTCAAATGCCGTTGGAATTTACTCTTTCATTTTTTTGGCATGCAAATGGGACATAGTACCTTTAAGTACCTTTATTGAAATACATCATGCCATTCATACTGAATTGCTTTTTTCTTTATTATAATATGTTGATTCATTTTAAATATAGCAGAAATAGAGATGAAATGATAAAGTTACTGAAATGTAGATTCATCTGATATTAGCTGTGATTTTAAAAGATGTTTATTTTAGTAAAAACAATAATTGGATCGCATCGTGGATTTGGTGAGAACTGACAAATTGTCTTTGCACAGATCCAGACGCTGGATATGGAGAAAGTTTCCATAACTCCATGTCGACTACACTCCATTCTCTCGCTACCATGCCTCCAGTCACTCAGCTTGACGGATATCAGATCAGTTGACATAGACGATGGAGAGACACTGGTATGTATCTTTACTATTCCAAGATTGAAGTCATAATCCTCTTTTTGTTCCAAGCTCAAAAGGAAGGGGTTCGGAAAATCTAGACAGACTAACTGTAAATAATAAAGGAATTGCCGAAAGGATAATATATTTTGTCTTGAAATCAAGTTAAAACCACATACTACGGGCTATTTAGTAAATCTATGGATGGTTTTATATATCAAACATCTATGCATGCACGGTTACAATTTTTTCGATTTGGGATGAAAACAAAAGAATCATGCATGTTTTCTTAAAGCTCGTTAAACATCGATACATGAATGATTGCCGTTTGCTATTTCCTAAAAAGATTCATTTGTAGGTTAATTTTTCATCATGAAATGTGTAACTTTCAGTAATGTGAAATCATTTGAATGATTTTTTTTTAGTCTGGCTAAACGAATATTGCAATAAAAAAGATGAAAATTAGTATACTACAATCTCGTCATCTTCCACTGAAAAAAAGAGGATAATAACACACGTTATTAAGTTGGCTTTGGTCATGTTGGTGGAAGCAGACAATTTAACGAACATGTTACGAAGGTTTTAGAAAAAGCGGAGAAAAAATAAAAACGTTAAGAAATTTCGAACGTCGACAATGCTAATGATGTGAGAAAACTTGTCATGGCAATGCGGTCAATTTGATGCGTAATGTCATACAGGGGGTAATCCTCTATTTTTGTTGGTTTCTAAATTACCACAAACACCTTTTCTAGAGTCTTATGATAGACAAACATTTTTTTTAAAGGGAGGGCAATACACGTTTAGGCCTAATGGAACATAATCTGCTGGATCATGGAAAACAGAGAGGTATTTGTAATATTTTGGAAAAAGACATCGATATAGTTCATCCTGAGCGGCACCGAATATGACTGTACTGTCAATGGAAGATTCTCTATGTCATTTATAATCTCGGCATCCAAAAGTGCAACAAATTGTATTCTTTGTCCCATTTTCCAAAAAACTATGCGTCTGATTATTTCTTCTTACTTTAAACTAACGAAAACCCTTTAAGTTTTATTATTGTATATTTGTGGAATATTTACCAAGCATGATATGAACAGTAAAAGTACTTTATTAATACAATAATGAGTCAGGTTATGTAACATAATTTCTTACGTTAGTGTTGGTTTCCTTTGGTTTCATTTCGTAAAAATCGCTGCTCCTCATGGATAATTCCTGAACTTCGTCAACTTTTCATGAATGAACGTTCTCTGTTTCGAGTTGCTAAACGGACCAGAGATCCATCTGACTGGGACTCGTACAAATCAGTCAGAAATGATGTAAAAACTCAGTGTAGAAAAGCTTACTGGTCATATGTTAATTCAATGTTTGCTTCTGATGACAATAGGCGTAAATTTTGGTCCTTCATACGTAGTCGTAAGAACTCACCACCTCCTCCAAAGTTCAGGTATAATGATGCAACAATTGTAAACTCAAATGACATAGCTTCTGTATTTGGTTCTTATTTCAGTTCTGTGTTTAATCCATCTGTACCTGTACCGACAGACCCTCCGGTTACCCTTGCCCATAGCTGCACTCTCTCGTTTGTCTCTTTGTGCTTCTGATGTTTATAAAGCTCTTCTGAAATTACAGAAAAACAAATCTCCTGGTCCAGACGGAGTCCTCCCTGGTATACTTTCCCGAGTTGCCCTTGAAATTTCTTACCCAATCTCCATACTGTTCAACACGTCTCTGCGCTGTGGGAAAGTGCCAACATAACTCCTGTCCATAAAGGCGGTGATAGGTCTTGTATTTCCAATGATCGACCTGTCGCTCTAACCTCGATACTCAGTAAGCTACTTGAAAGATTTGTGGCAACTGCCTTGCACAATCACATCGATTCATATGGTTTGCTTTGTACTAACCAACATGGGTTTACGGCAGGAAGAAGTTGCGTGACCCAATTGGTTAATGTATTGCTGGAGTACTTCACTGGATAAGAGACGTCCAACAAGAATAGATGCCGTGTTCCTTGATATGTCAAAGGCCTTTGAAAAAATGCCCCATCATGTCTTGCTCTCTAAACTAGCTGCAGATTTCAATGTCCAGGGTCAATTGTGGCACTGGATATATGTTCATTCCTCTTTGGTCGGATTCAACGTGTCATTTTCATGGGCTCTACCTCTGAATGGTCCGACGTCCAATCAGGGGTACCCCAAGGGAGTGTCCTTGGACCAAAGCTGTTCAACTTATTTGTCAACGACTTGCCTCTCTCGGTTCTTTCCTAATGTGTTCTCTTTGCTGATGATGTACTTTTGTTCAGGGAGATCACATCTCCGATTGACGAAGTCCAACTCCAAAATTATCTAAATGCTCGGCATTAGTAGGCCCTTAGGAACAACATGATATTCAACGCAGCAAAGACTAAGATTATGCATGTGACACGAAAAAGGCGGATTGAACCTCCTATTTACCTTTTAGGTGCTACCCAGATAGATCCCATTTCCACATTTAGATACCTTGGCGTAGTTATAAGCTCCGGCCTGACATGTAATTCGCACGTGGATGCGATTGTGTCTCGGGTGAATCGCCTCCTTGGCTTCATAAGACTTGTTGCACGTGGCGCTTCATCCAACTCTATATTTTGTCTTTAAAAAGCACTAGTACTCCCGTTACTAGAGTATGGCCTTCCAGCTTGGCACCCATTGACATGTTCCCAGGAAAACAAACTTGAACGGATCCAGAGAACCGCCACGCGCATTGCACTGAAGCAAGCTCGTGGAGTGATGCCATACAACGAGAGACTCCGCTCTCTCAATTGGTTTACAGTAGCTTCTCGTAGAGACTACCTTTTGTGTGCTTTTGCCATGAACTGTCTATACGGTCTATGTAATTGTTCAGCTCTGCTTGATAACATGCTCATCAATCATCGTCGTCCCCACAGTCTGTCCTTTCGCCAACTTCCTTCTCGTACAAATACTCTGTTCTTCTCTCCTTCAAGGCGACTTCCAAGACTTTGGGACACTCTTCCCATAAGTGTCAGAGATTAGGCAGTGGTATCCTCTCTGTCTTCTTTTCTTCGCGTTTCAAAAACAGCAATATTAGATAGTTCGTAGTTGTAGTTTTATCTCATCTGGTTATACAGTCATGTAATTACTTCACTTTATACCTCTGATTAGCTTCCGTTTATTTTTCTTATTATATATCGTGCCATGAAGCTGGATTATTTGTATTGTACTTAATTAATCTTACTTTTTTTTTATTACATATTAATATGATTACTGATATATTGACATGCTTTCTCCAGGCCTATATATTAAACACTGAGCTAGGTATTATATTTTATTATCGTTATACTTGTATCTTACTTCATTTATACACTATACATGTTAATACTGTTTAGGGCATTGTATACTCTAAGCTTTATATCCTGCGTCTTTAATAACTAATACACTATGTCTGATTCCAATGATTTTTCTCAACCCTGTTGAAGATACCAGCCTCCATTACTCTATATCTTGAATTTCTCATTACTTTAACATAATGCCGCTTGTATCATAAGGATTGTAATTTCCTTGGTACATCTAAGTGATATTCATCTTTGTAGGAATATGCGATGTAATACATTTGTCATTTTTGTTTTAGTTTTTGGAAGGGGGGAGTTAAGATGTATTTTTTCAAACAATGTGCAATATTGTATGTAAGTCAATGTTATGTTTATATATAAGTTGATTTGGGAGCAACATGTGAGGGCTAACATGCCTCCGGGTAATAGTGTTGAATTTCACTTTTGTGAGCCCTGGCCCACACGTTGCTCCCTCCCTTTTCCTCTTGTATTGTTTATGTATTGCATGATCTGTCAAAATGTATTTGTATTGTGCTTTTATGATTGGCCTAATAAATAATAATAATAATAATAATAGCATATATAGTGATCGAGCCTTTTTTGCCTCCCTGTTGTTTCATGTAGACTCGACAAATAACCTCAGTAGATGAGCTGTCTGTGGATGGTAAGCATGTGACCAGCCTGTGGAATCTTGGACTTCATTCATCATGTCCCCGAGTGAAAACTCTCATACTGTACTGGTTGGACGATGGGGAGAATGTCTCATCAGATATCGTCACAATGGCCTGCTCTCCATTCCATCATCTAACTCACCTTCACACCCATGGATGCTGGTTTAGTACATCGACTACACTGAATGATCCCGTTTCATTCTGCAAGGCGGTGATAACATCATGTCCTCGGCTCACCAAGCTGTCCATTACCCGCGTAGTCCTGTACATCAATCATGCAGCTGAGATCATCCAACTCATGAAGACTCATCCAAACCTGGCAAGCATAGAGTGAGTCTCATTTTGATTTACCAGGGTAATGATTGCCACATTATAGTCAAAATCTTAGAAATTTACATGTACAACACATTGTGGAACGACACATTTGGCTTACCTTTTACCGTGATTGTTTTCTCTCTTCATTTATTTTTCCCCCTCTCTCTCTCTCTCTCTCTCTCTCTCTCTCTCAGTCCCTCTCTCTTAATTAATTTTCTCTCTTGACTAATATTCTCTTTATGTTCTTAAGTACAGTCAAAATAGTAGTTTACCCAAACAAATTGCAAAAGAATTTATCCCACTTCAGTGAACTAGGAATGCATGTAATACTTTAAACAACATGCTAAAAGTTTGAGAACATTGAAGTAGTGGAAAGCAATTAAAATTCCGTCATAAGAAAAAAAAAGTTATTTTCTTATTGGAAAATATGCATTTAAATACTAAATTTAAAGGATTCAGAGACAACAATAAAGAGATTATTATTCAAAATATGCAAAAAAAACTTCGAACAGAGAGATATAAAATATATATTTTTATCATATCCCAGTTCAATCGATTCAAATAATGTAATGGATATTGACATTGTCACACTGAACAGGATGAATTCACTTCATGCATAATATGCAAATTAAGTTTTCATTTCTTGGTATTAAAATCGAAAGTACTAATGTTAATTTATATGTTCATACAATTATTATGGCTTAATGTTTGGATTGTAAATCTCAAAATTGTTCCACCATGTATGAATACCCATAATACATAACTTTCAATACATGAAACGTTGTAAGAGTTGACTTGGATGCAATTTAAGATTTAGGAAAAATAAGATTAATTTGTAATGGTGGGAGCTAATTTGCATATCATGTGAAATTCACTTGTTTCAGCAGGCGCGTACGCAGGGGGGGGGGGGTTGGGGGTTGAACCCCCCCTTTGGTTTTTTTTTTTTAATTATTAAAATATATATATATATATATATTATACCAATGGCTGACCTAAGAAAGTTGACCTTACCCCCCCCCCCCCCCGCCCCGCCCCCCCCCCCCCCCAACAGAGCAAAATGTCTAATTTTCAAATTTCGAGACCCCCCCCCCCCCCCCGCTTATTCAGCGGCTGGCTGAGTCGTTGCGAAATTTTCGGTCTGATTTAAAAATGTTAAACCCCCCCCCCTCCCACCCTTGAAAAAATCCTGCGTACGCGCCTGGGTTACAGTAATATTAAAATGTATTAATCAGGTTCAGTGGCATGGGCAAAGTCAATCATATCACTTGTCATGATTCAACTGGGATCTTAGAGCATGGCAAGTTATGAAAACATATAATTTCATTACCTTTTTGTGAACGATCATTGGCATATTTATGCGAGAAAATGTGCTCAGACTGTTCACTAACATCAGGACCATTGGATTGAGCACTTGATTTGTTCAAATCAGATATTTACAACGATATTACATAAAATTAAAATTTGAATTTCTTTCATACCTTTAGACATATAATTTATGCTTACATGGTGTTGATACAACCTAGATACCTGAATATAAATATGTTTGATCTTACAAGCATGATAAGAGGAAAATTAGCGTAAATTTAACACATTTGAATTTTGCTATCAAAGAAAATTGATTAGGACAAAACACTATGCACCATAAGCCACCTTTCGTAATTACTGCTAAATTAGTTAGGGGTAATTGCATAAAGGTTTGGAATGAATCGCAGAGTGGGTTGTCTTGAAGATTCGATGATAGGGTGCTGTATAGGGAATTTTACAATAATTTACATTATCTGATGATCTCTTCATTTTTAGGGTTTAGTCATACCAATATAATTTTGTTCAGATGAATTTAAATTAAATACTTTATTTATTTCATTCATCGTGATGTTCATAGACTTGCTTCATCTTAATGATACCGTGGTTTGCATTCATGCAATATAAATACAGAGCAAAATCATGCAAGTTCTGATGCGTATTAAATTGTCATCTATTCTCACACCATGTAGTATACATCTCTGATGACTTTTTAAGAGAGTATCGTACGTCAGGTTAGTTCAGAAGATAATGTATTGCGCCCCCGAAATGTACTGTTTTATTACTATAGGTTGCATTGGTGTGGTACCGACGCGGATCTGGATCCACTGATTTCTGAGGTAAACAGTGAAGGCAAGCTGACTGTCACCGTGAAGCATGGCTGGGTAAGATATAACAATAGATTACATGCCCATCCTTTGATTGATTCTTCTCCCTCTTACTTGTATTCCATCGATTCAAATTAGGTTATTTTTTTATTAGCCATGTTTAACTCCGCCCAATCTGTACCCAAGAATAAACATAATACATACAGTTTAAGCTGTCTTTAATGTGTTTATTCTGGCCTGATTAGAATAATCACGTATAGCAATAGGTTTGTTCGTGTTTTCTGTAATGATATCCGGAAACTGAAATATAACAAACATAGAGAAAAAGATTTTTACAACTATATGAATATTTTTAGTGAAAAGGTACTTTTCCTTTATGTACATGGTGTAAAAGCAAAAATGTTCATGTTACTTCGTCCTCTTTAAAAAAAAGCGATATGACCTTAATATCTGATGAAAGGATGAAATATTTTCTCGTATCCTATCTATAGCTCTACTTAAAGAAATGTGTCATATGATAATGTAGCATGCATCTCACAAAATAAAGTCTACTTCAATCCGTAGCGAAAAGTAGAAAGGCAAAACATGCTTATAATATATCAATACCCATGCGTTTGAATTCACAAGTGTACAGTATATTGGAAAGAAATTCCAACAAATTACGCTGCTCTATATTAGCAAACATAAACTACACTTAGCACCATGGCAAAAAGTAGATACATAAAACATGCTTCTTACAATATAGCAATATCCATTAGTTTAAGTATATGAGTTTTAATATATTGGAAACAAATTCCTACGAACCACACTGCTTTTTTCAGAACATGTTAAAGATGCATAATCTTGTTTGTAGTCTGCATGTATTCAATAAAAACTGCCTGTATGTTCTTAACTCTGTAATAAAAACAAAAACAAAATTCATGAAAAAATTATGTCATTAAGATGTGTGATAGGTACGGATTGTATTATGCCTATATGCGTCTCCTCTTCCTGTGCCTGCCACCTTGGTCATGATAGCGAAATCATATATATATTTCAAATCTCCCCTGCCTGAAAATTAATCCTTGTACTACCTTTTTTAACAATATTATTTATCAATATAAAATTTCTTGCAAATAGTAATCAAATTCAAATATAATTGTGGTTTTACTAAAAAATGATATCCTAGGATTTTACATAAATTTCTCTCTTCTTCGAATGCAGACATGTGAATGAATCCATCGCCTTACTGATTTGAATTTAAATGTAAAAAAATAATAATGATCATAGTAAACATTTATAATACGCCATGTCTGTCAAAATTGACACTCCTGGCTTTTATATAAATGATTGTGAACTATTTAATCGTTAGGTATCTAACCTACATGAATTTCAATCTCCGGAAGATAATTTTTTTCACTTATTTAAAAATCATTTTTAACTTATTTTTTTTTTGGCTAATTTTATTTACTAATTTATTTTAAAAATGCCCCTATTGTCATGAATAGTAAATGTCATAAGGTTATTATTTATACATCCACAACTTGACTTGATAAATATGTAATCCTCCCAATACTGTAATAAATGTTACTTTCTCTCCCTCCCAGCTCCTCTCTGTCCCTTCTCTTTCTTTTGCTATTTAAAAAAAATCTTGCTTCCTTCCTTACTTCATTTTCATGCCTCGCTTCATATTGTATGTATTCTTATTTTCATTTTCAAGAGGACGTCACTTCAAGCTTGTGTTTAAGACGACCCCTTTTCTGTATATACCGTGTTGTTATCATACATCTAAAGTTATAAGATTTTAAATGTAAATGTGTTGTTGTATAAGGAATAAATAAACATCACATGAAATCAAATCAAACTATGATTATTTAAATAGACAATATAACGTTTACATCTCTCAAATTCAACTGCAAAAATGCTTGCTTATTGACAGGTACTTAATTTTAGAAAAACATCATTATATATCAATTCTGGTATTCTTATAATTCCATAATCATAGTTTTGAAGATAACGCTCAAGTGATATGTGGTTTGGCCGTCAAGCAACAACGTATCAACGTTGGAAGATGACCCTCATCAGACCACATGATGGCAGCAGACTGCTACGGACTTCAAAATGAAACTTGTCAAGTGTGGCAGTAACCAGGCTACCCAAATAACTAAGTGAAGGATGTCTTAAGTTAAAATACATGGAATACAGTATCGTAAACATATTACTGCTTATGCCATGTCTCGATACTTTTAATTAGTAACTTTATAATTATGTTGAATCATATGGTGAAGGTAGATTTATTTTCGGGCCGAATTTATAATTCAAAGGGAGTTCCGGGTGATGTAAATAAGATAATAAAAACATGGGATATAGTGTTAAAATAATCTATGCAATACAATCTAGAACCTACGATATACAGGCTACAACCAACAAGCTATGATTTTACCTTGGGCTTCTTCATTTCCTCTTTTCTAATTTTACTTAAGTCCTTAATTTACAACTAACTACAAACAATCAAAGTGATTTGATATAATTATGAACTTATATAAATTGTATTGTCACGATCATTACAATTCAAGTAAATAAAACTGACAATAAGGAACGTAAAATGTGAAATATGAAATGAACCGAACTGAATTTGAATATCTAAACTCTCTATTGATTGTTTAATACAATTCGAACCGGTTTCTGTGTACTCATATTGGCTATACCGTAATAATGATGACAGTATATTACATTGTACTATTATAACAAGGTCATCAGGAATCTAATCCGTAAGATCTGTTGATAATTATCCTTGATCACGGTGATACATGCATTATGTAAGAATTTCCGGTATACCAGGATCTATTTCATGAACTACGGGTACAGTAATTTGTATCAACTTTTTCCTGTTTAACCGACAATTCCTAATTAATCCATTATCAAGAAAGATTGTTGAAAAAACCGTGTGTAGAATGTATATACTCGATCTAGACAAGCTTTTTTCTTATTTCTGTCCCATTCAATAAATTCTTGTTTTTGACATATAAGTATTTAACATATTTCTTTCTAAATTTAATCGTTATAGTCAAGAAGTGAACATTCTCATTTCTTGATTAGATGTACAAAAACATATGATAAAATATATGATATGTTCATGTGTGTAAATATAGCATAATCATTATATCATGAATTTTTTTAAATTATTTTTTTTGCTTTGTTTTGCTCTTCATTCAATGGAAAAAGAACATCTATACAAATTGGATTTGAGATGAAACAATTTAAATTAATAATTATTAATGTCTATATTTTGAACTACATGCCTTGTATGTCCAATACTTCATTGAAGTGTTGTTTATGGTTATTAGCCTGAGAGTCTGTCGTGCTTCATGAACATAATAAGTTTGACGAAAATACAAAGTTATGACATGTGATTATATTTTGCAGAGTGTGTATGTGGTTAAACTGTGACAAGAAAACAGTTTGTCTACTTGATGTACTTTTACAAACCCATTCAAACCATATAACCATATGAACCGTATATGTCGTGCTTTTGTTGTTCTTATTGTTATCCCCCTAAGATGTATTTTGTCATAACATCATTTCCCAGAACTGCTACATCTAACTAATCATGATCCTAACTTTGATATAATCTAGTCTAGTTTGTGACATGCATGTAACAGTTATTGATGTAGTACAGAAGAGGAATTAGTCATCTTGATATCGTTGTGATATTCTTGTAGTCAATTCGTGATCAGATCGTATAAAATCTAGTTTACTTGAGACGGGTATGTAACAGTCGTCGATGTAATATGAGAGAAATTAGTAGCTTCTTGTATTCAACTAATCATGATAATATTATGTAATTAAATATAATTGTGTGACATGCATGCAACGGCCATTGCTATATTCAGAGATAGATCTACACTATCTCATTGTAATGTTCCTGTATTTAATTAATCACGGTCATATTTGTGGCATTTCATGTCAAACTTATTTGTGCTGTAAAAGAGAGGAATAAGTCATTTCGATCTCGTTGTTATAATATTCTTGTATTAAACTAATCAAGATCAAATGGTGCATACCTACAATCTAGACTTCTTTGCGACATAGTTTTTCTAAATAGTTCAGAACCCTTTAGGAATGTTATTTGTCATATATTATATATTTGAAAGGTGTTGTAACGATTCAAGCTCTATTTGCTTATTTTTCATCACCTTTTTGTGTTCATTCCTTTAGCTGTATAATAGTTGCAACTTGTTTTTGGTAAAACATTGTTATATATTAATTTTCACGTGAAGTCAATTCAAATGGGTTGTAAAATTGAAAATGATTTGTTATATTATATTCTTTTTCATGTGATGTTAACTCCAATAAATTTTAAAATTGTGAACATTCATGTATAAATAAATACAATTTATACAATACCTGCATATAACAGTCGTTGTAAGACAGAGAGTAATACAAAGAGGAGTAAGACAGGTAGAAAGCTCCATTAAATGGTTTGGAAAATGGCGTTTGATGGAACACATATCTAGATTTACAGTATTATTGTCGTTTTATTTAGTAGCATTAGAATGCGTGTCTATTTCCAATCACAATGATGCAATTAAAGTTATGTTAATGTTTTTGCTATGATCAGTAGATCTGAATAGGATATAGACTCATATGATTTCTTATAAAATGTCAAAGGTTTATTCTTATGTACAACCACAATTTGTTTCAAGTTATATATTACAAACATCCAATGATCCTGTACAGTATTTTTACCCATTACATCTTATCAATTTATACTATATTATACATTTATTTCCATTTATGTCTATATTGTAATGATCGTTTTTATTAATGCCTGTTTTGTAATGATTTTGTCAGTTGGTGCGCAGTACACCTGAATAAGGGAAAGTGAAGTGAAGTCTTGCAATGTACGTTACGTTCTGAGAGGTGAATTCTCTTTGTTCAAGCTTTTTTAAACAAATCGCTCTTCTTACAGGCTCTTTGATTGACTTGAGCAATTCTGGAATCATCTGAAAGCCGGTGAATTTCTCTTTGATATATTTCCAATGTTCATGGATTTGCAGGACTGCTTTAACATGTTATTGATATCCGGAATATGTAAACATATAAATATATACATGTATAATGTTCTCAGAAAGGGAATCGCTTTGCATTCATTCATTCACGTCTTTCTACACACGTTTTGTTTATATCTGAATTTATTTTGTTAATATATCGGAGAGTGTACATAATTGCATGTCAATAACTCAACACATAGAATATGTATGACTAGCTTATCAGTAGGACTTGCAGAATATGGAATTTGTTGTAAGAACAACAAATGTTTGAAATGTTTTTAATTATCTTATCAGTAATTGTATAGACAACAATTCCATGTATTTATCTAAGAAGTGAGACTGTCATTTGCTTAAAATTATTGTTTTATCATGTGATAAGCAACTTATTTGGTTATGTCGTAGACCTAATAGATCCGTAGCTATATGGATTTTGTATATGTTTGTTGCAGTTGTGATGTTTTGTATATAAAGGTAACACAAATTATTTTAAGGTCATTTGGTAAAAATCTGTTGAGTGTGTGTGTGTGCAGCTAGCTCTTCTAAGATTGAATTGAATGTCAGCTCCATGCATTTACGTTGGTTTTATTTGTCCGGCAAGAAAGATCTATATTGCTAATCCAATTATATTGTTATTATACATAGTCATTCCCATTTGTGTATATTGTGAGATTAATCAGCATGAATAGACTTTCATCTAGACAGACCATAGTAGGAAGTTTCATCGTTGAAATTTCAATAATTTGGTGAACCAACCGTGACCCAACAAATCGAATGGTGACAAACAATATCCATTAACAAAAATCACTCAAAGTGAGATTTCCCCCAAATGCAGATATTTCAAGACATATCATACTACCAGTCGTTTTTCTCTTTCTTCTCATAAGCCTGGGAAATTGTAAGTGAAAGAAAATGTAATCATTTTGACTTATACCAACACTACCTGTGAATCAGAATCATAACTATAAGCACTTTCAGGGAAATACAAACAGATTATGTCTGTGTACATATTGTATAAAAGAGAAAGTTCGATCTATAACTGATTGAACTCATGGGATTTACAATGTTCTTGTTGTTGAGAGATAGTAGAAGGGGATATATCGCAAGAAATTGAATAAAATAATTATGAAAGCCATTTACAGTTTGAATAATCGCCTCAGAGCTTTATTCATGTAAACTGGAATAAGTCGGATAAGAGGTGGGCAACATGAAGAAGGAAATAAAGCGCTTTTTACAGAAAAGAAGAAAGGATTTGATTGGATAGTGTATAAAAGAGAGAAAAGGCGTGGTGTATAAGTAGACGCTGAAAGATGGAGACGGACCAAGAGAGAGTGTGAGAGAGTCGAGGGGGGGGGGGAAAGAGAGAGTGAGAGAGAGAGGGGGTGAAGGGGAGGAAAAAAGAGAGAGAAAGCAAGGGAATAACGAGAGAGAGAGAGAGAGGAATGAAATACAAACACGCAAACGAAAGAAAGAAAACATGATCTCACAGATAATTATATGCAAAACAGTATCAATGATCACTCGTGCTCATTAAAGAGCAACATCGTTATAAACATCAGTATAAACCTATCTCATCATTAATCCCCTCTCTCTCTCTATTTATGTATGATGTATGCATACCACCTTTAATAATTAATCGTTTTTTTCTATGCCTCTGAATATCATGAAAATGCACTTTTAGACTGAGGAACAACATATTTTAGGCCTATG